AAAAATATTTTATGGATATCAAATCAGCTGCTTAGGGATTATGGGACTCTGCTCCAAGTAATAATAGTACGGTCTTTGGAGTCTTTTCCATTTTAGAGGGCACCAGATTTTGTCAGTTTACAACCATTGGCATGCTGCCTAGGGATTATGGGAACGGTGGTCCATCTTGATTGGGGGACTCAAAGCTGAGAAAGGTAGTTAGTGGCCAGCAGAAGATGTTTCTTTATCATCCCATGTTTCTTGGGAAAACTTTTGCCATCTTAAACATCCTTATTGTTCGAAAAAAATCTTAGAAAAAAGTCACATGTTTAGCAAAATGGCAAGTACACAGCTGGAGTCAAAAGCTCATGGATAAGCAGTAGAATTTTCAACAATATTTATTTGAGTTCTTTGTCATGGAGAAGACAAGATTGTGAAAATTGGCGGGAAGGTTCTGTATGTGATAAATGCTTTTTTGTTTTGTACATTAATGTTTGGTCTCTTAGACAGGAGCTGGTAAAACATACACAATGGGAACTGGATTTGATGTTAACATAATGGAAGAAGAACAGGGCATTATACCACGAGCTGTAAAACACCTTTACAGATGTATTGAAGGAAAAAGGCATGCAGCTATTAAACAGGGGCTTCCTCCTCCAGAATTTAAAGTCAATGCTCAATTCTTAGAGGTAAGCCTTCATCATACAGCAATTTCTCTGAATAAAGATATTTTGGACATACTGAAGTAATTACATACAATAATGCATAATTTAGCAAAATGCATATATATTTGGACACAATTCTGTGTAGTTTGGACACACTCATTTCTGTTTGTCATGTAGGTAAAGTTTACACTTTCTTAGTAAACATGCAAATAATATTAGCAATCAGTTTTGCCTTGAGTCTAAATGGATTGTGCTAATCTTGTTACTTATTTAAGACAAGGGGGATGGGAAAGAAGTTTAAATTGGCTTTTCTTGTGTCAGATACTTCTGTATGGTAGAACGTCATAAAATTTTACTTTTGCAAACATAAATAATGCCTCCAGGGGGAGGAGAGTAAATTATTTGATATTTATAGTACAGCAATGATTGCTGAGACTTTTTCTAAGAATCAAGGCAGGAGGTTTTATTAAAATAGGATAAATAGGACATCTACTGTTAATATGGCAAAGTAGTTGAATAAGGCCAGTGAGATGTGCCCTGTTTCCACTCTTCTAAAATAAGTAAGTGTATAAATGTTTTTCTGACTCAGGGATTCCCCTAAAAACAACTAGGCTATTAAAGTTACAGAAGTCTAAGTAAGATGTAAGTTCTGGCACAGGTAAATACTGGACAGCTATTGCATTTCTTTAAAAATATTAATTAGTTGGGCTAGTACGTACCTGTTGCCCTTCCCTGAAAGCACTGGATAAAACCTCTCTGGCTAATATTTGTCTAGAGTAACATATAAACATGGAAAATGTGCTATGGGAGGCTTTTAATCCCTTTGATTTGGACTTTGCTTTCTGAGGGCTTAGAAGAGAGTTAAATAGTTGCTATTGGTAGGAGCACCAGACCATTCTGGTCTGTTCTAATGTTGTTTTTCCTCTGTCCAGCCTATTTTTAATAAGAGGGTTTAATCTTTCAAAGTTAGGGGTTATCCTGCATACAAATGCTCCCTATGCTCAGCCTTTTGCTAGTATTTGGGTATATGGGAAGGTGAAATTCAAGAAAGTAGGGTTCAGTAAGTTTTGGAAAATGATTTTTCAAGAAAATTAGTAAAATATTGAAAGACCCTGGATTTGCATTATCATTATTATTATTATTATTATTATTATTATTATTTGATAGTGAACAAGGGGCACAAAATATTAAAGAATCGATGACAGATTTGGTAACAGCAGGTAGAATATTAATAGCAAAGAACCGGAAAGCAAAATGTGATTATCAAATAAGCAACTGATATAAAGAACTTTGGAATATAGCCATCAATGATAAACTAACTTAACCCTTTTTCAAACTAATATCACCTGATAGTAAAAATTAATTCTGAGGTTTTGGGGGATCATTTATTGAATATGTTAATGAAGGGAAAGGGTTATGTACTATCACAAGAATTGATGCAATTTTGGAAGTGGCTACCTGAATGAATAAATGTTTCTATACTAAATAACATATATCTGTTGGTCCTGCTGAAGGGTAGCAACATTGTACTGTATTGTTTATTATTGCTACTAATAATTTAATATTTGTATTGCTTTGTATTTGTGTGCATTGTGAAATTTGTTTTTATTGTGTGTGTTTTATATAAATTTTTCAAAAATAAAAATTAAAAAGAAAGTAAACAAAAAAGCCCAAGACCCACTAATAATTTCCCTTCAAAAATGTACAATGCCTGAACAGGGCCGGCAGTTGTGAAAAGTTCATACAGTCATGGAATAGTAGAGTTGGAAGGGACTAGACGGCCATTGGGTCCAAGTCCTGACTCAGTGCCGTACTTCCGAGTGAGACCATCCCTCTCATGTTTGTCCAGTTGGATCTTGAATACCCCTAGTTTGGGAGGGTCCACAACCTTCCTAGGTAATTCCTTCCATTGCCATACTGCTCTAACAGTAAGGAAATTTTTCCTCATACTTAGCTTCAATCTGGCTTCCTGTAATATTTGATACTACCAAATAATCAGTCTATTTTGGAAACATTGGAGAGATGAAGATAATGACCTGCTTCTCACAACAATCTGCTACATTGTGTTTGGAGCCTGGAAGCACCCTTGAATGGTGGCCGTGGGTGCCCAACTTGCTATGTCTTATTCTGTTGTGTGAATCTAAGTAGCAGGTTCAACCACACTCAATCCGTACTCAGTCCTGGAGTTAGGTAATGGTAAAGACACTAACAGCAAGTTCCCTATTTGCTAGTAAATCCTCTTCTGATATATCTCAACCTGCTACTACCTAGTCTGGAGGTTCTCCTTCCTTGAAGTATTTTGCATAACTTCATTAGTTCGTATTTTAATTGCTGATTATTCACATTTTGGATAATGATTTTACTCAGCTGCTCTGAAAAGAAACCACATCATATTATAGCTAGTAAAAATCTGCATATTTTTAATTAAAAGCTGGCTTCAGTTTACATACCAATTTTAATGTACTTGTTCACTGATTTTTAAAATTAGCTTTACAATGAAGAAGTACTTGATCTCTTTGATACAACACGTGATATTGATTCAAAGAACAAAAAGTCAAATATCAAAATTCATGAAGATTCAGCAGGAGGAATATATACAGTTGGAGTCACAACACGGACTGTGAATGCAGAAGCAGAGGTACTGTTGCCCAAAGTAATGCTATTTGGTTTGCCAGTGTGGTGTGGTGGTTGGGCTGGGGACCTGGAAGACCCATATTCTAGTCGCCATGCAGATGTGAACCTCAGTGGGGCAGTCACTCACTTTTAGCCCAACCTACTCATACCTCAGGGTTGTTGTTGTGAGCATACAGTGGAGCAATGTAAGCCTCCTTGGGTGCCTTGCAAGAAGAAAAAGGCGAGATGCAAATACAATGTAATAATATTTCCACTCTCATTGTAAATAAGCAAAAGGAAATACTCCCTTGTCCCCACATAAGGGTTTTTTTAAACCTGTAAAGTATTTTTGTTTCATTCATAACCTTTATATTTCTCCCCAAATGTGCTGTTATCTTCCTTTTGTGGTTGGAAGGGGCCATTTTGCTTTCATAAGGATCCAGGCATGGAAGATCAGTTTTCTGTGAATATATAGCAGGGGTGTACAATGCAAGGCTTGTTGGATGCTCTCAGTATGGCCCATACAGCCAACATCACTTCCCCGTCTTTCCCCCCTGCAACCCAGTTAATCTACCAACCGGCTTTTTCCTCAGGCTATACCCCCTCTCTCCAACAGGGGGAAACTCTTATCTCTGATCAGCTACTGATCAGAGATAAGAACATAACCAGCAGGAGAAATAAGTAAAAGCCTGTAGGGCTAACTGCTATTTGGTTCTGTTTACTTCTGAGTAAATATGTAGAGGTTTGCTTTGCTTATTTGTGAGTAGACCTACTGGTCATGCTTACCTCTGGGTAGAGGCTTGGCATTTGGAATTCTATTTGAAAGTAGTATTGAGTGAGTAGAAACAAGTTCTCCACCCTTCTGGTGATGTATGGGTTCTGTACAAGATGTTGTGCAGCCCTGTTTCCCCAAGAGGCAGTGGTTATAGCCCATGTGGTCAAAAGACGTAAGATATGCTGGCAGCTTGCTGCCAGTTTCTGCCTTCAGTATCTCAGACATCAGCAAAATTTCCCATTGCTTGCTCTGACTCATCTCATTTTATACTGTGTCACTGATGTGGTATTAACTATTCAGAATACTGTTAAAGGGAACAAAAGGAGACAAAATACTCTCTATTGTTATCAGGATAAAGTAGCTTTCTTTTTGGTGGAATCTGGTCAGTTTCCGTGGTCCAATGATTTAGATGAATCTAATGTGTTCATCAGTTCATTTGGAAAGAAATTCTTTTCTCTTTGTCCAGATGTTGGTATATGTGTTTTTGCATGCATCTGTGGACATGTGATTCCTCACACTTGAACCATACTAGTTCTTGCTTCGGTATCTGTGTACCATAATTTTGGAAGATGGGGGCAGGCCAGTGGTTAAAATGGTTTCTATAGGACAACATTCCCAACTTGGTACCTTCCAGACATTTTGGATTACAGCTCCCTGCATCTTCAGCCAGCATGGTGGGTTGGACATTGATGACAGCTGTGGCCCTACACATTTGGAGGATACCAGGTGGGAAAGGCTCTTGTGGACACTTTTAAAATGTGTGGAAAATAGATAATTGCTGAACCAGATGTTGTTGAGAGGAATGTATATTGGGGCCTGGTGCCGTTCTATTCACTTTAGCTTTGGAGAATTGGAACAATACATATGGAAATGATAGGTTTCTGTATTATCTGTACATGTTCCTAAAATTCAGAAGTTAGGCTTAGGGGTGTGGTCATGTATTACAATAAGGCTAATCTCTAGATCTTTTCCCCCTCCTTCTTGTACAGATGATGCAGTGTTTGAAGCTAGGTGCTTTATCGCGAACCACCGCCAGTACGCAGATGAATGTTCAGAGCTCACGTTCACATGCCATCTTCACTATCCACTTATGTCAAACAAGAGTTTGTCCCCCAATGGATGCAGTACGTATTATCTTAAGAGTACGAAAATACCTTGAACAATGTTTTGAAGTGTCTTAAGCCTAGAGGAGTGTCCTGTATTCTCAAAATAGCTTGCAAAATCTATTTTCATATCATGTCACCTCATGTCATATTGCTAATGTGGGGAGCTGCTGCAGTGCTATTTCTTCCTATGATGCTGGGGCAGCAAGAGGTGCTTACACTGTAGCTTCTGACCAGACCAGCATGGTGTCTCCTGCATGTGTCTTGCTGGCATAATGTCAGTGAACTGAGCAATGCCCAGAGCACTATTTTAATATTTAAATACCTTACTATTGTTAAAAATAATCATATTTGAGAAACATGCCATTATTAATGGACTTTATTAGTTTACTACAGCCTTCATCAATGTGGGTCCGGTGGCTAAGCATTACAAATATATGTGCATTATACCCAGGTATTGCATGATAAGAGACTTGTTTTATTGGGGAAGTTAAAGGTGGTCTTGCTTGCGGTCCCTTTACAGCCTTCAATCAGTTGCTGGTGTAGCTCATGCCAGTGGAAGAAGGTGTTCTAAATACACAAGTAATGATGTGAAACTGGGTAGAAGCAGCTAGTATATATTATATATTTTGGCTGGTTTTAAAAAGCAATTGCATTTGATTTGAAAAATTAAGCATGCTTCTTTTAAAATGTATTTTGTTTGGGCTCCAGAATCTATTATGTATTTATGCATTTAGACATATGTTTGAAGATGTAAACCTTAGCTTTATTTGACTTTAAAATAAAAAGTTGGCATTGGAAAGCAAACTGGGACAATCATGGGAATAGAAGGTTCCCATAGCTACCTCATGCTTTGACTGAATTTGCAAAAATTATGTCCTAGGGTCTCTGTCCTTCTGAACATTTTACATGTATGTACTTGTGTGTATGTATCAACTCTGGAAACTAGAATGTGATCATGAGGCTGGAGACCATATATTTCTTCATTTATTCTGATTAGATATTTTGCAAACATTTGACCACTGAAAGTAATTTATGTTAGTAACAAATAATAAAAAGTTCTCTAAAGCTTTGGAAGTGAGTAGGAAAGCATTTGTGCATCTGAGTATATATTAGTGGATTCTTAAATCAAGAATTTGCTTACTTAAATGGGCTTCTCATTTCTAATTGATATAGTCTCCTCTAGTGGTATCGAGGCACACTGCAGCTTCCCACCATCCATTCTCAGCTTCTCACAGATAGTTTTAAAAGGAGTTGAAAGTCGTTTAAGAGAGGGTTGATTTCCAGATACTCTTCTTTTGTCTTAGTGTTGTGTCTAGTTGAATAGATTTGTGTAGCTTTTTGAAGCACTGTTTATTAGAGCAAAAATGAGTTAAGTTTACACGGTATGAGCATTTCCCCTCTCTTAAGCATCCTTCAGTCTTCAGAAAAAGACCTCTTTTCCATCTTCAATTTAAGATATGATTCTAACTCAGGACTCTGGCTAAGAGAAGAATGGATTCCCTATTTCTCTCTTCTTGGAGAGGATGCAGGAAAAGGACAGACAGGCTGTTCCTCCTCTTCCTCCTCCTTTTGCTTTAGCCACTTCCAATTTCAAATGCTGGCTTGCCTTGAAGGTGCAATGGAAATCTTACTCTTGTATAGTACCAGGAAAACAGGACAAAAGTATTTTCCATATGTGGGCTACTTTGTTAGACCATTTGTTTCTCAACTAACACACTAAAACCATAATTATTTTTAACATAGATATGGTAAATGGTACAGGATATTCTAATTTTAAACCATTACTAAAAAGGCAAGTAATAAAAATATCACTTATAAGTATCACTTATAATATGTATTTAGTGATGTGTTAAAAAACTTTCCATGGTTTTTAGCTACTTGTTGGCCACAAAAGTTATTCAGAGAGATTGGCAGTTTGATGGGTCATCATTTCAGTAGCTGAATTTAGTTAAGGATGAAGGTGACATTGGGCCTGCTGAGAAGGCTGTGCTGAGATGGCACTGAGTCACTGCATTTCTGGATGTAATTTTGTTCCTTTCCTAGTTCTCCTGTCTCATTGCTCTGCTTGTGAGGGAAGAAAAACCTTCTTTACATGTCCTTTCAACCAAATATCCTGTCTACTGGGGGCTACACATGAATAATTTGAGATATTTCTGTCAGTTCAAATTCTCAGAATGGCATTTCTTCTATTTAAGGAGACAGCAAGATATGTGAAGACAGTAATGAAGTAATAAAAATAATGTCCTTATGAGTGATTCCTTGTTATTACATGCCACAAGTCATGTGCTACTTGTTTAATTGTCTTTCTCACTAGGTAATGTCACGTGTTTTCTTTCTTTTTGCTTTTAATCACAGGACAACATAACAGATAATAGAATAATTTCAGAGTCATCTCAGCTGAATGAATTTGAAACCCTTACTGCTAAGTTTCATTTTGTGGATCTGGCGGGATCTGAACGATTAAAGCGTACAGGAGCCACGGGCGAAAGAGCAAAAGAAGGCATTTCTATCAATTGTGGATTAGTAAGTTTAAGTTCTTGTGCAGCTTTGCAAGTAGCTACACTTGTCCAGAAGAATCCCTGAGACAGTGCACAGGAGACAAAATCATTCGCCGTAGAGGGGTCAGCAAGGGATGGCATAGGCTTGAAAAGTGAATCATGTTTTCTTCGCTATGTCAAAACTCCTTTGCAAATATGTCTAGCAGGTTGGCTTGCTTTTGAATGTGTAGTACTAATCTAATATTTACTACACTGTTAGAAATTATTGCAAGACTGGATGGTGAAAATTCTTGATAGATTAAGGCTAATTGGGGTTGCTTCCATGTTAAGATTCGAGAACCTTTTAAAACTTCTGTTTTAATCCTTGGTTAGGTACAACCTCTGGATGGCTTTCAGTGTTTTTACAGAGAAGATCAGACCATGGGTAAAGACAGTGGTTGTTGAGCTCTAGTAGAGAAGGGTTGGAGACAGGAATAGTATAAAGTACGGCTGTTTCATTTTTCTTTCCTTAACAGATCTCCCTCCCCACAGGAAAGAAAAAAATGATAGAAGAAATGGTGGAATGATTAAAAATAAGAAATGATATAATCTTGACTTCCTCTCACATTCAGTGAATGAGGCAGTTGTACCAGAAATGCTGCTACTGGCAGCACCTCTGGGTTAATGGCTGCTTTTTCTCATACCTTGCACCTTAAGATATTTCTTTAAGGGTCAAATGGATTGCATCAGAGTAACTGAGGCTCCTACTTTACTCTTATGTATGCTTGTGTGGTCCTGTACTGTATTGGATGATGGCATGTTCAGGATCTGTAGAAGGATCAAGCATTTCCAGACAGGAGCAATGTGTGTAGCTGGAGCTTTTCTGGAAGGTGTTCTGGAAGGTATGAAGAAAGCTACTTCTAAAACACTGCGGAGGCTTGTCTACTGCGGTGGAAAAGAGCGAAGTGAAGCTGCCTTGTGTAATTCTGTGACAAGGTTTCGAGATGGCTAGATGAAGGGGATGCAGTGGATGTGGTATACCTGGATTTCAGCAAGCCTGTGACAAAGTGCCCCATGATATCCTGGTGGAGAAACTGAGGAGTTTTGGGATACACCAAAGCATTGTCCGGTGGATTAGGGCACGGTTGACTGACTGAAAGCAGAGGGTAACCATTAGTGGGGAATCATCAGGATGGCGGCTAGTGACAAGCAGGGTCCCCCAGGTCTCTGTCCTGGGGCCGATTCTGTTTAATCTTTTCATAAATGACATGGAAGAAGGGGTGAACAGTCTGCTTATCAAATTCGCAGACGATACTAAAACTGGAACAGTGGCCACAACTGAGGAGCAGGTACTCCAGATCCAAAAGGATCTGGACAGACTATGGAAGTGGGCAGGAGACAACAGGATGGCGTTCAATGTGGATAAGTGCAAGGTCTTGCACTTGGGGCATAGGAATAGCTGTCATAAGTACAGG